TTTTTAAACTTTCCATTCCCCATCTTTTCTTTTCTTTCATCTCCACTGCATCGTGTTCACTGTGGAAAAATGCATGCAACAAACTCTAAAATTACATAAATCTCTGCTCTGCTATCCATAGTCTATAACTTCTTTAGGAATGATCCTCTCAAGTAGGAAGGAGAAAGGAGCCAACACTGAAAGCCCCCTATGTACTGGGAACTTTGCCTGTGTTATCAGATTAAATAGGTGTGGGTACTATTATTCTTCTTTTACGGGGGAACACACTGAGATCAAGTGAGATTAATTGGCTTGTCTGAGGTTATACATCTGGTTAATTAGCATATTGGGGATCTTTTATTCTACATTTAATGATGTTACTCAACACAGTTCTTTCATTCAACTGTTAATTCTTTTATGACCATAGATATGCTGGAGAGATTCAGAGAAAAAGATGTAGGAAAGAAGAGCAAAGGAGGTAGAGGAAATTTTAACTTACAAACCTAATCTAAATGTATATTACAAATATAGAAAAGTAAAAGCTGCTGTACGACAGGAGTTCTTAGACGGGGGTTTGGAGATCCTTAGGGGGATCCATGGATGGGTTCCTCAAAATGGGCAGACTCCTTGAAATTGCATGTAAATGTGTGTGTGTTCATTTTTGTGGGGAGAGAGGATTTGTAGTTTTCCAAAGATTCTTAAAAGTTTAAGAATTACAGCCAAGGAGAGGAAAATACAGACTTAGGAAGGAAAAGGCAAGTTGTATGTTAGCAATTCATCTTTTTCCATTGGACATGTTTTGGGTATGTCATGGTTTGGGTTAAACCTTCCCATAGGGTTTCAAATAATTTGTTTTAGATTAGTTGTTTATACCTGGTTTAAGACTAGTTCAGTTAACCTTTTTTCCAAATGTTAATTTTTGAAGTGTCAAAAATTTTTTGTTAATGAGAAAATGGTAACAATCCTTTGTCTTTCGGTAGGTCAAATATATAAATTAAATTCCAGCATCTCCTGGTGGTGCTCACACATTGTAAAATATAACGTGTGAGTGTAATGAGGGCATTTCTCAGTTCTTTTCATTTTCTAAATGTGTTTTTAATTCAAGTTCACAATGATCTAGTCAACTTGATGTATACATAGGCCTCTCACAACGGCTTACATTATAGGTAGCCACAATGTGAACATCTGAACCTGCTAAACAGGTCTCAGTTCTAACTTAAAGTGTTACTTTTAAGGAGTTTAAGAAAAGTAAGATTCACAAGGCCTTTTAAGTCTCTGATTTTTCTTAATAAAGCTAATAGGCAGGATATCAACTACTAATGATCAAGGTACTCACACTGATAGCCATTTTGAAAATGGACTAGCGCATTAAATGTGATCATTGCGTTCCATAAAACAACCTTTGGTTAAAGCTAGACTGAGGCTTTCTAAGTAATACAAAACTCTTACTCTTCTTTTAAAAATAACTCCTTTGTTTAAATTACATTCTCCTGTCTGTAGATGACTTTTGTGAATGGAACTGAATAATGGAAAGATGTTGTAAAAATATGTTGTAATCATCCAGGTCCTGCAGTGTAACCTACTTAGCATTAGATTTCGTCTTTGGCCCTAGGGGTTACTGGTGAAAGTTAAGGTTGCTTAAGCCACTGTGTGATGAGTAACGCACATTAGTTTTTATTATCTTATATAAGGAAATGTGGAGACTGTTGATGCTTGAAGGTAATTAGGTAGTGCTTAGGAAAAGTACCTCTCCTTTGTACTCTTCTACTAGCTTCACTTGCATATTACTGAGGAAACGCAACGACAGTCCCATTTAAATGCATGTGTGGGGCTTCCCTGATTTAAGAATCCCCCGCCAATGCAGGGGACACGGGTTTGATCCCTGGTCTGGGAAGATCCCACATGCCACGGAGCAACTAAGCCCGTGTGCCACAACTACTGAATCCCACGCACCTAGAGCCCCTGCTCCGCAACAAGAGAAGCCACCGCAATGAGAAGCCCGCGCACCGCGAAGAAGAGCAGCACCCGCTCTCCACAACTAGAGGAAGCCCGCGCACAGCAACGAAGACCCAACACAGCCAAAAATAAATAAATTTATAATAAATAAATGCATATGTGAAAAACTGCAGTGAAATTTTATTTTTACAAAAGGTTTGTCCAAAGTTGGAGGTGACAGGTATTTCTCAGTTTCATTTCTAACAGATAACGGATTAAATGGACTGCTTAAAAATAATTATTTGACATTAAATTTTGTTAGATGAGATTGCATTAAAACTAGTTATATTTTTCAACTGTATTAAATACAGGCATCTGAGAACACTTTATGATGTTTATCTAAAATATGGTCCAATGATATATGTCATTTGAGGTTTTGTTTATTGTAAAGTTGACTTTTACATGTTGGTGTTGGTAGCTTTTCTAGTGCATCCCAGGTCGATTTTGTGAGCACCTTTAGAAAGTGAGCATTTAATAAATGTTTAACAAATGTATGATAAATGTGCTTTATGTAAAGTATCATATAAATGCATATAACTGTCACCACTACCATATGTGTTTCGTAGATCAGAGGGTAGAATTTACCGAGTTTTTCATTTTTGCAGTTTGTTTTCTTGGCTCCCGCTTTTCAGGTTGGCAGACTGAGGCTATAGGTTGGTAAAATTTAAGGGCTGACAGTACCAAAATTTAGGTTAAAAATGAACCCCGGGACTTTGCTGTTGGTGCAGTGGTTAAGGATCCGCCTACCAATGCAGGGGACGTGGGTTCGATTCCTAGTCTGGGAAGATCCCACATGCCTCAGAGCCGCTAAGCCCGTGCGCCACAACTACTGAAGCCTGCACTTTAGGGCCTGCGTGCCACAACTACTGAAGCTGGCACGCCTAGAGCCCATGCTCCGCAACAAGAGAAGCCACCACAGTGAGAAGCCCGCGCACCACAAAGAAGAGTAGTCCCCGCTCCCGCAACTAGAAAAAGCCCGCGCGCAACAACAAAGACCCAACACAGCCAAAAAAAAAATGAACCCTAATTATCGATCCCATCATTAAGCCTGTATGGTCACACACTCTTTACCATAATAATATGGCTTGTTTTATATAAAATAAGATCTTAATCTCCCTCACTTATTTCTCTCCTCCCCCCTCCCCCCCCTCCGGCTCCCCACCCCTCTGGTAACCACCTGTTTGTTCTCTATCTGTGGCTCTGTTTCTGGTTCGTTGTTTGCTTACTTGTTTTGTTTTTTAGATTCCACATATAAGTGAAATCATACAGTATCTGACTTATTTTACTTAGCATAATACCCTCTAGATCCCTCCATATTGTCGCAAATGGCAAGATCTCATTCTCTTTCACGGCTGAGTAATATTCGTGTGTGTGTGTGTGTGTGTGTGTGTGTGTGTGTGTGTGTAAATATATATGTATGCATACACACCGTATCTTCTTTATCTATTCATCTTTTTTTTTTTTGGCTGCACCGCATGGCATGTGGGATCTTAGTTCCCTGAGAAGGGATTGGACCTGTGCCCCCCCTGCCATGGAAGCGCAGAGTCTTAACCAGTGGACCGCCAGGGAAGTTCCTCCATTCAACTGTTGATGGGCACTTAGGTTGCTTACATTTCTTGGCTATTGTAAATAATGCTACATTGAACATAGGAGTTTTCTTTGGATATATACCCAGGAGTGGAATTGCTGGATCGAATGGTAGTTCTATTTTTAATTATTTGAGGAATCTCCATATTGTTTTCCATAGTGGCTGCTCTTACAGGTTGTTTTTAAGGAAAAGACAGGACATGGTGAGATTTCATTTATTTTAGGCCTACTGAAAGTAGAACCTACTGTATTATCAAAAAAACAAAATTAAGGTTTTAGTGTGGACATGAGTCTTAAACTCAGTTTAATTACTAGGTAGGGAAATTAATTATTTCATAAGGAATGCATTCTTGTAGAGAACTTTTTAGAATTACAATTTGGATATTTTAAATTTTATTTTAGTCAGTACTAATATAGGATTTAGTGTAAAATCGTTTGTGCTTTTATTTTGTTTTTATCCTAATTCCTGGTATTATTTTCCTACTCCTTTTCTACTTCAATTTCTTTACTTATTTTAAGTTTATTCTATTTTGCTTAATTGTATATCTGTTTTATCATATATATGTTTCAAAGATATACTTACATATAGGTCTACAATTGTTTGCCGTCATGTAATTTGACCCCTAAAACACAACTCTAATTATATTAGTTCCTTCCTTAAAAACCTTTGATGCTCTATCTTGTCATCCATATTAACTACAAACTCTTCAGTCCAGCCTTCAAGGTTAGCCACGATATGGCAATAACTCACCTATTGGGACTTCCCTGGTGGTTCAGTGGTTGGGAGTCCACCTGCCAATGCAGGGGACACAGGTTCGAGCCCTGGTCTGGGAAGATCCCACATGCCACGGAGCAACTAAGCCCGTGCGCCACAACTGCGGAGCCTGCGCTCTAGAGCCCGTGAGCCACAGCTACTGAGCTTGCGTGCTGCATCTACTGAAGCCCGCGCGCCTAGAGCCTATGCTTCGCGATAGGAGAGACCACCACAATGAGAAACCCGCGCACCACAACAAAGAGTAGACCCCGCTTGCCGCAACTAGAGAAAGCCCGTGCGCAGCAATGAAGATCCCCAACACAGCCAAAAATAAATAAATTTATTTTAAAAATAAAAAAAATAACTCACCTATCTTGCCACCTCTCCCTTCCTCAAGCCCTATATTCTAGCAAAACTAAACAGCTTATACGGTCTCTTGTTTAAGAATATACCTCACTATTACCCCATTCGAATTTCACTTTACTAGAAGTGACTTTTTCTGCCTTCATTTCTGCCAGTCTAAAACCTGCCTGCCCTTGAAGTTTTCCTGAAATGTACTATCCTTCACAAAACTTTTACTGATTTTCCCACCTGCATGCAGTGTCTCTTCCAAACTTTCAGATTTCTAGTTGTTTTTTTTTTTTACTCATAGTAAGCACATAGTTAGTAGTTGTTAAATAATTACCTGACCATCCAAAGACGTTGAGATTAGTTGTTATTTGACAGATGTATCACTGACATAGTTTCCTAATGAGAAAAAAATGAGTAGCCTTCAGCAAAAGCAGGAAAGCTTTGACTAAAGTATCAGACCATTGCATTGCTATCACAGACCCAAATGTCATCCTGTCCGTTCTTCCTAGTGGATCTTTATTTCTTTCTTTTTTTTTTTTTGAAAGAACTTTGCTGATAGGCATTTATCTTTCCCTCCTTGATTCTTTCCATTTCTTGGTGGTTTTAGTTTTGGCCTGATCCTCATAGGTAGTTGTATGCTTTAGAAACCTCTCCATTCAGCAGGACCAGGGTCTGGCGGTACATGGGTGGTTTGAGCTTTGGAAACAGGTCAGGGGCCATGGCTCTGAAGGAGTGGAATAAGCAGAGGTATCAGACTGATATACCTTACCAGGCTGCCTTTTCAACTTGCAAAGACTCGTCCAAAATAGTGTCTTTTTAACATACAAGGAGGATGCATAGGTACATATTTTAATAGAAAAAAATTAAATTTGTTGAAAGTAACTATTAAAACTTCTCAGGGAACAAAATTGTTTTCCTTTTAAAACTAATAAACACTCTTGAAGACTGCATAAACTTATTTTGTGGTCCACGTGGGGAAAAAATGGCATTGAGAAAAAGCACATTCTGGAAGCTGTACTTTACTATCTGTATATATGCTGTCATATGTTCTAACTTTTTTTAAAAAACTGTATTTTCTTCCCAGTAGCTGGTCCAGCTTTTACAGTACTAGGACTGACTGATTCTCAGCTGGTGAACCCCTGACATACACACCACGTTTTCCCCCAAGTTGTGTACACTAATTATAGCAAGACACTAAGGAATGACCCACTTCCTTTTGGAATTTATTTTATGACACTTCAGACAATTATCTTTAAGAACAGATGAACTTGTGTTGTTTTAATACCATAGAGAGATGAATTTAAGCAGCTTGAAATATCACTGAGGGTTATTTCTTCTTTGCCTCTTCTGTCTACCTTCAGGTTCTTAGAGCTCAATACATGCACTTAGAGAGTCTTCTAAAAAACTAAGATGATTTGTAATAAGTAAGTTAGAACCGAGGATACGCATGAAGAGTTGGATAATGGAACATGGAAGGTTCTAATTTCCCTAATGCGGTTTTGGTATTGTAAAGGTTACTCTGTTGCGCCCTTAGGAGATATTTTAAGTTTTCTGGAAAGAGACTAAAGGAAGATTATCACCAAACTCAGACAAGGGAAAAGGTGCCAAAACCAAATGAAGAAAATGTGGGCAGAATGCCCATGTGTGTCTCAAAGTGAACAGTTAGATTGTGTCTTCTGTTGTGACAGGGTGATTTATTGGTGTTTCTGTGAGCCTTCCTGATTTTAATAGTGGTGAGATGTCACTTTCAGGTTCATGTGGGGGGACTTCCCTGGTGGTCCAGTGCTTAAGACTCAGCTCTTCCATTGCAGGTTCATATGGTAATCCTATATATGTGTACATCATTTAAAATCATATAAAGCAAAAAAGGGCAGATTTCCAAGTGGTCCAGTGGTTAGGACTCAGCACTCTCACTGCCGGGACCCGGGTTCAGTCCCTGGTCGGGGAACTAAGATCCCACAAGCCACGCAGGGCAGTGCGCCCCTCCCCCCCCAAAAAAAAATAGAATACAGCACTTTAATTGTAATTTTTTAAATAAGGAAAAGTCTTATTTTCTAACTTATTAAGTAGAGAATTCCCATGTGAACTGATCCCTTCACCTGTCTGATTTTTAAACTTTTCACCTAGCAATTCTGTCTCTGCTGCCTAGCTTAAGACTGAGACCATTGATATGTGTAATACATATACATATTCATAAAGAACTGCATTACCTAGGTTACGCTGCAGCAACAAACCACCTCCCGATCTAGTGGCTTAAACAACGAAGGATTTGTTTCTCACTCCATGGCCACGATAGATCAGCAGGGGAGCTCTGCTCGTGTCACTCAGCGATCCAGGCTGACGGAACAACCACCTTCTTGCGCACTATTGGTCACCATGCTAAGAGGGAAATGAAGTCTGGAGGGTCTCTCACTAGCTCAGAAGTGATTCACTTTGCTTATTTCGCAACATGATGGCCAGATCTAGTCATGTAGTCCCATGTAACTAGGCAGGGCCAGGAAGCGCAACACTGCCGGTACCAGGGAGACAGCTGAAAATATACAATAAACAGCACTGTTCTTTTGGTCACCAGATAGTCGATCTACCCTCTCTCACAGGCAAAATACACTCACTTCCTCCCCAAGTAGGGAACCCCAAGGTCCTATCAAATCATTGCATCAAGCTTGAAGTCCAGGATCTCTGAGTGACGCAAGGATGTGATGACTGGTGGTCTATTCGTGAGGAGATGATGCACATAGCAGTCTCTATATCAGGCCCAGATGTTGCTCTTTTTGATCCATAGATTTGTGAAAGAAATTGGCAAATGATTGGCTGCCGTCACATACAATATACAGTGGTGACTAGCGACAGGATGATAAAAATAAACACTCCCATTTGAAAGGGGGAAGAACAGGAGACATATAGCAGTCAGTGGACTGCAGCAAATTCTGCAATTCCTCTGAGCAGTCATTGAGAGGACCCCTCCAGGGATGGGGAATGTTCTTGAAGAGACCCTGACTTGGCTCCTTAGCTCACTTGTCTGTTCTTTCTTTGCTCCCCTGGCTCCATCTTATTGGACCTCCTCCTCCTTTTTTTCCTATTATGTTCCTTGGCTGTATCCCAAATGGACAATGAGGAATATACCCCTTTAAGGGGACGAACAGCTTTCTTAGTCCACTTCCTGCCATAGATGCCTGGGAACCCAAAGATCATTTTAAGAAGGTTTGAATAGTCATAGGCTCTCAAGCCCAGGCTGGTGGTCGTTTTGGCAGTATAACTCTCAAAAACTTAGTTGGATTTTTACTTATTTGTTTCCAGTCAGCACCATGTGCCCTAGCCACGTCCACCAGTCTTTTCTAGCCATACTTCATAGATTTGCTGCATAACTCTGCCTTGTTGGTCTCATACTTCTTCCTTGACGTAATCTTGAATACAGGTATTTCTGCCATAATGCCGTATATGCTTTCCTGAATTCTGCAAAATTGCACACTAAAATAAACAGGGCTTATGGGAAAAACAGGATTGGGCAGACCACTCAAAAGCTGTGGAACACTGTAACCAGTGCACTAATAAAAGCAAAATTAATTAAAATAAAAACAGTAGCATATTGAATCTCCAGCGGCATATGCACTCAGCATCAGTTGGTTGGAGCTTTACAGACTCAGTCCCCTGGGTGCTTGTTTCCTCCTCTGAGATTTTGGGGTGTTGAAGACATTTACGTATAATAGGACTAATTTCATGACAGTAAAAATTTGATCTATGGTATGGTGTATGCTTCAGCAATCAAAAACTTTCTTTCTTTTTTAAACACAGGAGGAAAAACATACACCCTCAACTTCACCAGATATAAAGTGGAAAGTGCAGTGGTTCATGAAGCGGCTGAACCAGCCACAACTTGCATTAAAGGAAGGTACAGAAGTGGGATGCTTAGCATTTTTCTTAGTGTTTTCATATATTGCTAAAGCTTTCTTTTTAATTTGGGAAAGCTTTCTCCTGATCACTTCCAACAGGAAAATTTCGTATAAACCAACATGACTTCTGTGTTATATTGACATCATTTCCCTATTTACTAATAGCATTTGAACTAATTCACATCAAAGAAACGTGCTTTGTAGCAAAACAGACTAAGAGACTGCTTTGGTGAGAGAACCTCTCTTTAGTCTCTTTCTAGAAAAGCTATTTTATTCAGCACTACCTTAATCAGTTGGGAGGTTTTATCAGTGGTTGTGAAGGCCAAAACGTTCACTTGATCCTTGCCTCAAGACTGAATTCTGATCAGCATTTGTATCTCAGAGACCTTCTCAGTTGTGTGTTAAGCACCTGCTTCTTCTAACCCTACAAATCACTGACCTTCTGGGCTCCTTTTTTTATGATTGGAAACTGACTGATTCTTTTCTGAATTCATCCTTTTCAAATAATAATTTGTCAAATACAGCCAAGAGTAACCAACACACTCTTTTAATAGTCCATTTTCCCACTAGAGCTATAAGTTTTTATGGCATATTAACTCTCGTCACCACTGTGCAATATGAGCTGCTCTCCTTTTAGCCTCTGATAACTTTTTCCTTGCCTCCTTCTACCCAGCTCCTAAGCCTTCACCATATACTTTAGGTTTTTTGGTGAGGCAGCACCACACTTCTGGATTCCACCTGTATCAGCTAGGAGAGGCCAGGTTATGCTGCAGTAGTAAACAACACAAGATCTCAGTGGCTTTGTGGTGGGAAGCAGCAGCATAGCACAGGGAGATCAGCTCAGTGCTTTTCGACCACCTAGAGGGGTGGGATGAGGAGGGTGGGAGGGAGGCTCGAGAGGGAGGAGGTATGGGGATATATGTATGCATATGGCTGATTCACTTTGTTGTACAACAGAAACTAACACCTAACAGCATTGTGAAGCAATTATACTCCAGTAAAGATGTATTTAAAAAAAAAAAAAAACTCAGTGGCTTTGAAAACATGCTCTCCTTCAAATTAAATAAAAAACAAAAAAATTTAAAGATCCACAGCATTATGCATATCCTGTGGGTCATTTTGTTACTTGGTGTCCCAGGTTGATAGCAGTCATCACCTTAAGGATTGCTGGTCCCTGTCTCAGAGGGAAGAGAGGTCTGGAGGGTCTCATATTGCTCTTCCATGTATCACTTCTACTCAGCTGTACTGGCTGGAAATAGTCACACAGCCCCACCCAACTACAGGGGAGGGGGCAGGGTCAGAAAGTGCAGGTCTGTCATGTGCCCAGAAGGCCGAGGGTCAGGGGTATTTCAGAAAAACAAATTGACCACCACCACAGAGGATATCCTTTCATTTATTTTTCTTTGTCTTCATGATTTTGTTTTATTCCTCTCTTTTTCTGGTTAATTGAATTTTACTGTCTCTCCTCCCTTGCTTAATTTGAGATAATTAATGTGGTTAAGTTTATCTACTTGTACTTGTAGTAGTTTACATTATTTCCACGGGTCAGAAGTTTGGGCAATACAAAATAAAGCTACTATGATTTTCCTGCTTAAAATGCAAGGTACAAAACTGATGCAAAAAGGTATGTGGTTACAGGAATAATTGAGTTTTAATTATTTTGGAATGTCATTTGTCATAGTAGAAATAGACCATGAGCTTTAGAGTCAGGCAGGCCTGGAGTCAAACATTGCTTCTGTCATTTAATAGTTAGGTGATCTTAGACAAATAATTTGACCACTCAGAGGCATAATTTCCTCTTTTATAAATGCAAAAAAGTATAAATATATCTATTCAGATGTCAAGTAAAACATGGTGGCATTTATCACCGTTTCTTTCTGAAATTCTACTAAAATGAAAGTGAAATAATTTTTTATAATTAATTAATTGATTGATTTGGCCACACCACACGGCTTGTGTGATCTTAGTTCCCCAACCAGAGATTGAAGCTAGGCCCTCGGCAGTGAAAGCACAGAGTCCTAACCATCGGACTGCCAAGGAATTCCCTAAATAATTTTTTTAAAAGAATAAATCCATAAGGAGAGAAAATGGAAGAGAGACAATAGCAGAGGAATGATAGAAATAGTTGTGAATTACGTATTATAGTCATAATAGTGTAAGCAATAAATCACTTAACAAAAAAGTGATACAACTATATGGGGAGGATGAAGGAAGAGTTGGGAGCAATAAGGTAAGAAAACTATAGTGGGAGACAAGTGGTACTATCTAAAATTGGAAAAAAAAAAAAAGTCAAGAAATAGAAATACAATCATAGGGACTTCCACGGTGGTCCAGTGGTTAAGACTCGGTGCTTTCACTGCTGAGGGCCCAGGTTCAGTCCCTGGTTGGAGAACTAAGATCCGACATGCCATGCGGCATGGCCAAAAAAAAAAAGGAAATACAATCAAATTGTTTAGAAATATGAAAGTACATACGAGGCGAAGGGGATTAGGAACCGAGGTGGTGGAGTAGAAGGACGTGCTTTCTCTCCCTCTTGCGATAACACCAGAATCACAACTAGCTGCTGGACAATCATGGACAGGAAGACACTGGAACTCACCAAAAAAGACACCCCACATCCAAAGACAAAGGAGAAGCCACAATGAGACGGTAGGAGGGGTGCAATCACAGTTAAATCAAATCCCATAATTGCTGGGTGGGTGACTCACAGACTGGAGAACACTTATACCACAGACGTCCACCCACTGGAGTGAAGGTTCTGAGCCCCACGTCAGAGTTCCCAACCAGGGGGTCCAGCAACGGTAGGAGGAATTCCTAGAGAATCAGACTTTGAAGGCTAGTGGGATTTGATTGCAGGACTTCAACAGGACCAGGGGAAAGAGAGACTCCACTCTTGGAGGGCACACGCAAAGTAGTGTGCGCATTGGGACCCAGGGGAAGGAGCAGTGACCCCAGGGGGGACTGAGCCAGACCTACCTGCTAGTGTTGGAGGGTCTCCTGCAGAGGCAGGGGGGTGGCTGTGGCTCACCGTGAGGACAAGGACACTGGCAGCAGAAGTTCTGGGAAGTACTCCTTGGTGTGAGCCCTCCCCTAGTCCACCATTAGCCCCACCAAAGAGCCCAGGTAGGCTCCAGTGTTGGGTTGCCTCAGGCCAAACAACCAACAGGGAGGGAACACAGCCCCACCCATCAGCAGTCAAGCGGATTAAAGTTTTACTGAGCTCTGCCCACCAGAGCAACACCCAGCTCTACCCACCACCAGTCCCTCCCATCAGGAAGCTTGCACAAGCCTCTTAGATAGCCTCATCCACCAGAGGGCAGACGGCAGAAGCAAGAAGAACTAGAGTCCTGCAGCCTGTGGAACAAAAACCACATTCACAGAATGATAGACAAGATGAAAAGGCAAAGGGCTATGTACCAGCTGAAGGAACAAGATAAAACACCAGAAAAACAACTAAATGAAGTGGAGATAGGCAACCTTCCAGAAAAAGAATTCAGAATAATGATAGTGAAGATGTTCCAGGACCTCAGAAAAAGAATGGAGGCAAAGATGGAGAAGATGCAAGAAACGTTTAACAATGACCTAGAAGAATTAAAGAACAAACAAACAGAGATGAACAATACAATAACTGAAATGAAAAATACACTAGAAGGAATCAATAGCAGAGTAACTGAGGCAGAAGAACAGATAAGTGACCTGGAAGACAAAATGGTGGAATTCAGTGCTGTGGAACAGAATAAACAAAAAAGAATAAAAAGAAATGAAGACAGCCTAAGAGACCTCTGGGACAACATTAAAAGCAACAGCATTCACATTATAGGGGTCGCAGAAGGAGAAGAGAGAGAGAAAGGACCCGAGAAAATATTTGAAGAGATTATAGTCAAAAACTTCCCTAACATGGGAAAGGAAATAGCCACCCAAGTCCAGGAAGCACAGAGAGTCCCATACAGGATAAACCCTGGGAGAAACACGCCGAGACACATAGTAATCAAACTGGCAAAAATTAAAAACAAAGAAAAATTATTGAAAGCAGCAAGGGAAAAACGACAAATAACATACAAGGGAACTCCCTAAGGTTAGCAGCTGATTTCTCAGCAGAAACTCTACAAGCCAGAAGGAAGTGACATGGCATATTTAAAGTGATGAAAGGGAAGAACCTACAACCAAGATTACTCTACCCGGCAAGGATCTCATTCAGATTCAATGGAGAAATCAAAAGCTTTACAGACATGCAAAAGTTAAGAGAGTTCAGCACCACCAAACCAGCTCTACAACATATGCTAAAGGAACTTCTCTAAGTGGGAAACACAAGAGAAGAAAAGGACCTACAAAAACAAATGCAAAACATTTAAGAAAATGGTCATAGGAACATACATACTGATAATTACCTTAAACGTGAATGGATTAAATGCTCCAGCCAAAAGACACAGGCTTGCTGAATGGATACAAAAACAGACCCATCTATATGCTGTCCACAGGAGACCCACTTCAGACCTAGGGACACATACAGACTGAAAGCGAGGGGATGAAAAAAGATATTCCATGCAAATGGAAATCAAAAGAAAGCTGGAGTAGCAATACTCCTATCAGATAAAATAGACTTTAAAATAAAGAATGTTACAAGAGACAAGGAAGGACACTACATAATGGTCAAGGGATCAATCCAAGAAGAAGATGTAACAATTATAAATATATATGCACCCAACATAGGTGCACCTCAATACATAAGGCAACTGCTAACAGCTATAAAAGAGGAAATCGACAGTAACACAATAACAGTGGGGGACTTTAACACCTCACTTACACCAATGGACAGATCATCCAAAATGAAAATAAATAAGGAAACAGAAGCTTTAAATGACACAATTGACCAGATAGATTTAATTGATACTTCTAGGACATTCCATCCAGAAACAGCAGATTACACTTTCTTCTCAAGTGCGCATGGAACATTCTTCAGGATAGATCACATCTTGGGTCACAAATCAAGCCACAGTAAATTTAAGAAAATTGAAATCATATCAAGCATCTTTTCAGACCACAACGCTATGAGATTAGAAATGAATTACAGGACTTCCCTGGTGGCACAGTGGTTAGGAATCCACCTGCCAGTGCAGGGGACACGGGTTCGAGCCCTGGTCCGGGAAGATCCCACGTGCCGCGGAGCAACTAAGCCCGTCTGCCACAACGATGGAGCCTGCGCTCTAGAGCCCGCGAGCCAAAACTGCTGAGCCCAAATACCACAACTACTGAAGCCCATGCGCCTAAAGCCCATGCTCTGCAACAAGAGACGCCACCCAACGAGAAGCCCGCGAACCGCAACGAAGAGTAGCCCCCCACTTGCCGCAACTAGAGAAAGCCCGCGCACAGCAACAAAGACCCAAGGCAGCCAAAAAAGTTAATTAATTTTAAAAAAAGATGAATTACAGGGAAAACAAAAACGTAATAAACACAAGCACATGGAGGCTAAACAATATGTTACTAAATAACCAAGAGATCACTGAAGAAATCAAAGAGGAAATCAAAAAATACCTAGAGACAAATGACAATGAAAACACGATGATCCAAAACCTATGGGATGCAGCAAAAGCAGTTCTAAGAGGGAAGTTTATAGCAATACAAGCCTACCTCAAGAAACAAGTAAAATCTCAAATAAACAATCTAACCTTACACCTAAAGGAAGTAGAGAAAGAAGAACAAACAAAACCCAAAGTTAGCAGAAGGAAAGAAATCACAAAGGTCAGAGCAGAAATAAATGAAATAGAAACAAAGAAAACAGTAGCAAAGATGAATAAAACTAAAAGCTGGTTCTTTGAGAAGATAAACAAAATTGATACACCATTAGCCAGACTCATCAAGAAAAAGAGGGAGAGGACTCAAATCAATAAAATTAGAAATGAAAAAGAAGTTACAAGAGACACTGCAGAAATACAAAGCATCCGAAGAGACTGCTACAAGCAACTCTATGCCAATAAAATGGACCACCTGGAAGAAATGGACAAATTCTTAGAAAGGTATAACCTTCCAAGACTGAACCAGGAAGAAATAGAAAATATGAACAGACCAATCACAAGCACTGAAATTGGAACTGTGATTAAAAATCTTCCAACAAACAAAAGTCCAGGACCAGATGGCTTCACAGGTGAATTCTATCAAACATTTAGAGAATAGCTAACACCCATCCTTCTCAAACTCTTTCAAAAAATTGCAGAGGAATGAACACTCCCAAACTCATTCTATGAGGTCACCATCACCCTGATACCAAAACCAGACAAAGATACTACAAAGAAAGAAAATTACAGACCAATACCACTGATGAATATAGATGCAAAAATCCTCAACAAAATACTAGCAAACAGAATCCAACAACACATTAAAAGGATCATACATCATGATCAAGTGGGATTTATCCCAGGGATGCAAGGATTCTTCAATATATGCAAATCAGTCAATGTGATAAACCGTATTAACAAACTGAAGAATAAAAACCGTGTGATCATCTTAGTAGATGCAGAAAAAGCTTTTGACAAAATTCAACACCCATTTATGATAAAAACTCTCCAGAAAGTGGGCATAGAGGGAACCTACCTCAACATAATAAAGGCCATATATGACAAACCCACAGCAAACATCATTCTCAATGGTGAAAAGCTGAAAGCATTTCCTCTAAGATCAAGAGCAAGACAAGGATGTCCACTCTCACCACTATTACTCAACATAGTTTTGGAAGTCCTAGCCACAGCAATCAGAGAAGAGAAAGAAATAAAAGGAATCCAAATTGGAAAAGAAGAAGTAAAACTGTCACTGTTTGCAGATGACATGATACTATACATAGAGAATCCTAAAGATGCTACCAGAAAACTACTAGAGCTAATCAATGAATTTGGTAAAGTTGCAGGATACAAAATTAATACACAGAAATTTCTTGCATTCCTATACACTAATGATGAAAAATCTGAAAGAGAAATTAAGGAAACACTCCCATTTACCATTGCAACAAAAAGAATAAACCTACCGAGGCTTCCCTGGTGGCGTAGTAGTTAAGAATCCGCCTGCCTATGCAGGGGCACAGGTTCAAGCCCTGGCCCAGGAGATCCCACATGCCATGGAGCAACTAAGTCTGTGCGCCACAACTACTGAGCTTGTGCACTAGAGCTTGTGGGCCACAACTGCTGAGCCCGCGTGTCACAACTACTGAAGCCCACGCACCTAGAGCCTGTGCTCCGCAACAAGAGAAGCCACTGCAGTGAGAAGCCCACACACAGCAACAAAGACCCAACACAGCCAAAAATAAAAATAAATAACAAATAAATTTAGAAAAAAAAGAAAAGAATAAACATACCTAGGAAGACAAAAGACCTGTATGCAGAAAACTATAAGACACTGATGGAAGAAATTAAAAATGATACCAACAGATGGAGACGTATACCATGTTCTTGGATTGGAAGCATCAATATTGTGAAAATGACTATACTACCCAAAGCAATCTGCAGATTCAATGCAATCCCTATCAAATTACCAATGGCATTTTTTACAGAACTAGAACAAAAAATCTTAAAATTTGTATGGAGACACAAAAGACCCCGAATAGCCAAAGCAGTCTTGAGGGAAAAAGATGGAGCTGGAGGAGTCAGACTCCCTGACTTCAGACTATACTACAAAGCTACAGTAATCAAGACAGTATGGTCCTGGCACAAAAACAGAAACATAAATCAGTGGAACAAGATAGAAAGCCCAGAGATAAACCCACGCATCTACGGTCAACTAATCTATGACAAAGTAGGCAAGGATATACAATGGAGAAAAGACAGTCTCTTCAGTAAGTGGTGCTGGGACAACTGGACAGCTACATGTAAAAGAATGAAATTAGAACACTCCCTAACACCATACACAAAAATAAACTCAAAATGGATTAGAGACGTAAATGTAAGACCGGACATAATAAAACTCTTAGAGGAAAACATAGGAAGAACACTTTTGACATAAATCACAGCAAGATCTTTTTTGATCCACCTCCTAGAGTATTGGAAATAAAAACAAAAATAAACAAATGGGACCTAATGAAACTTCAAAGCTTTTGCACAGCAAAGGAAACCATAAACAAGACGAAAAGACAACCCTCAGAATGGGAGAAAATATCTGCAAACAAATCAACAGACAAAGGATTAATCTCCAAAATATATAAACAGCTCATGCGGCTCAATATTAAAAAAACAAACAACCCAATCCAAAAATGGGCCGAAGACCTAAATAGACATTTCTCCAAAGAAGACATACAGGTGGCCAAGAAGCACATGAAAAGCTGCTCAACATCACTAATTATTGGAGGAATGCAAATCAAAACCACAATGAGGTATCACCTCACACCAGTTGGAATGGGCATCATCAAAAAATCTACAAACAATAAATGCTGGAGAGGGTGTGGAGAAAAGGGAACCCTCTTGCACTGTTGGTGGGAATATAAACTGATACAGCCACTATGGAGAACAGTATGGAGGTTCCTCAAAAAACTAAAAATAGAATTACCATACAACCCAGCAATCCCACTACTGGGCATATACCCTGAGAAAACCATAATTCAAAAAGAGTCATGTACCACAATGTTCATTGCAGCTCTGTTTACAATAGCCAGGACATGGAAGCAACCTAAATGCCCATCGACAGACGAATGGATAAAGAAGATGTGGTACATATATACAATGTAATATTACTCAACCATAAAAAGGAACGAAATTGGGTCATTTGTAGAGACGTGGATGGGTCTAGAGACTGTCATACAGAGTGAAGTAAGTCAGAAAGATAAAAACAAATATCGTATATTAACGCATATATGTGGAACCTAGAAAAATGGTACAGATGAACCGGTTTGCAGGGCAGAAATTGAGACACAGATGCAGAGAACAAACGTATGGACACCAAGGGGGGAAAGCGGCGGCGGGTGAGGGTGGTGGTGTGATGAACTGGGAGACTGGGATTGACATGTATACACTGATGTGTATAAAAGGGATGACTGATAAGAACCTGCTGTATAAAAAATAAATTAAAAATTTTTTAAAAATAATAAATGTTTAAAAAAGAAGAAGAATACAAGGGGAGGGGGAAGAGGAACAGCTAAAAGGAACACTTTTGTCTCAGGTATGGGACTCAGATGGGATGGAGCAGGCAGAGGATGGCTGCTTTTTTATAAACCTTGCAGTATATTTGACTTGTAAAACTATGTATGATTTTTTTGAGTGACTACTTTGATAAAAAATTTTAAATAAGTTTAAAAATCAACCCCAGGGCTTCCCTGGTGGTGCAGTGGTTGAGACTCCGCCTGCCGATGCAGGGGACACGGGTTTTTGCCCCGGTCCGGGAAGATCCCACATGCCGCAGAGCGGCTGGGCCCGTGAGCCATGGCCTCTGAGCCTGCACGTCCGGAGCCTGTGCTCCGCAACGGGAGAGGCCACAGCAGTGAGAGGCCCGCTTACCGCAAAAAAAAAAAAAAAAAAAATCAACCCCGAAGTTTTGTAGTGAATATTAACTAAAAATAATAAATAATGAGCACCTTTACAATTCTGTGCACATAGCAGGTATTCAGTAAATACTAGTTTCCTTCCTTTTGTCAATTAGATAGGGTGTGTGCTTGCAGTGACATTCATATGACTCAGAGGTTAGCTGGTTGGCCAAGCAGCAGTGTGAGGTATGTCACAAAGCAAATTATGTGCCTTTCTCATCTTTTATCTTTTAATGGATGGTTTTATTTTTCTTGGAGCCGTGTCAACCTTATGGTTACTGTTTCTTAGAATTTAGACTTCTGTGCAACCGACACATGAAAAATCACCTGGTCATTGAGTGGATCTAGAGAGCTATGCATAGAACAAATTTAAAAATACTTAGCAACTCTGAAATTACTCTAAGAAACCTGAAAACAATGATATATATACCTAGATTATAAATTATTTAAGGCCAGTGACATCTCTCTCTCTTCTGTAGTTGTCAGTTAGCTGCTTTATTTTCCTGGTCCACAGTGCCTAGCCCACTACTGCCTTTGTTCCATGAGCTCTCACTGTGGTGGATGGTGGTGACTGGTATTGAAAAGAAAACCAGCCAGGATAAGGTCCTTACATGTTTCATGGACAACACATATTGTGTAACTGGACTGTAAACTCCTTGGGGACACAGACCATATATTCTGCCATGTCAGTACGTCCAGGATAATGAATGCCGTGCAAAAACAGATATTCACTTAGTCATCAAATATACACTGAACACCTACTAAGTGCTGGTCGTCACTGTGCTAAGCTCTAAGAATACCTCAGTGAACTGGACAGGTAAACTCCTGCTGTCTTAGAATTTACATTCTAACAGAATGTTTGTTGAATTCATGTCACCCAGTAAAATGATGGCCCACAATGAACCATTTAAGCAGGATAAAGAAGTGTATATATAAAGAGTTTAATCATTTTAAGTTATGTTTGTTGTATGATGTCAGTACATGCTATAAGAAGGAAATAAGAGATATCTGATCTTTTTTGTCTTTGCTTTTCTTTGCAGATAAGATGCTCCACGTCATTTGCAGCTTTCTTCAAAAGAAAAATCACTAGTGCTCTGCTCTTGCCATAATACCAAACCTTTTGACTTATGCTTTGGTGCTGCAACACTGGAAGAATTGCCCACAGGTTCCAGGAATACCTTTTTTTTCATCTGAGTGATTCTTTGTGGATGGAAAAGGATTTGAGTCTTAATAATTACCCTGTTTTAAAGCTATTTCTCTATAGCCTGAACTGCTTCATAAATTAGGCCACTTACCAATGAGCCACACAGTCAGTTCTTGTCAGGAGCTGGTTGAAAACTGTGCTGTGCGTGTAGCAGGGATGGCACAAGAAGATAGCCGTCGTGGTCAAGTGCCATCTCCCTTTTATCATGGTGCCAACCAGGAGCTTGACCTGTCCACCAAAGTGTACAAAAGGGAATCAGGAAGTCCTTATTCTGTGTTAGTGGACACCAAGATGAGCAAACCACATCTCCATGAAACAGAGGAGCAGCCGTATTTCAGGGAGACAAGAGCAGTGTCTGACGTGCATGCTGTGAAAGAAGACCGGGAGAATTCTGATGACACAGAAGAGGAGGAGGAGGAGGAAGTCTCCTACAAAAGGGAGCAGATCATAGTGGAGGTAAACCTTAATAATCAAACATTAAATGTATCTAAAGGGGAAAAGGGTGTCTCTTCTCAGTCCAAAGAGACTCCTGTTCTTAAGACAAGCAGTGAGGAGGAAGAGGAAGAGAGTGAGGAAGAGGCCACGGATGACAGTAATGACTATGGAGAAAACGAAAGGCAGAAGAAAAAGGAGAAGATAGCGGAGAAAGTCAGCGTTACACAAAGGAGGACGAGGAGAGCTGCCTCTGTTGCCGCAGCTGCCACTTCCCCTACTCCCAGAGCTACAAGAGGTCGTAGGAAGAGTGTAGAGCCACCTAAGCGTAAGAAGCGGGCCGCAAAGGAGCCCAAAGCGCCAGTCCAGAAAGCTAAGTGTGAAGAGAAAGAGACTCTGACCTGTGAGAAGTGCCCCAGGGTGTTTAATACTCGCTGGTACCTGGAGAAGCACATGAACGTTACTCATAGGCGCATGCAGATTTGTGATAAGTGTGGCAAGAAGTTTGTCCTGGAAAGTGAGCTGTCCCTTCACCAGCAAACAGACTGTGAAAAAAATATTCAGGTAGGTTTCATCACCAAGAGGGCAAACTTTCCAGGATAGAACCTGGCTGTTCACACTCACCTGGTATCTGCCCCAGAGAATAAATACAATAGAGGCCGAAGGGACAGTTTTCACCAATTTATCTTTGTGAAAGCCCCTGCTTTGGTCTTTTCAAAAGCAGCCTTAACAGTTTCTTTCAAAAGCATTAAATTTAACTGATGCCGGACTAGTGGGAACCCAGGTACATTGGAAGGGGGATCTGTTATAGGCGATTGACAAGGAGGTAAAGTCAACACCGACTTTGCACTGAGATTTACTCTTGTAAGACATGTAATATAATTCATTCTGGCATCTTCTCTGTCAAGGTGGGAGATATCAAGTAAAGGTCAGGAGTAGAGAGAGGTCCTTTTCTAAGGTTTGAAAGGATGCCAGATGCTAGTGTAGCTGATGGGGACAAAACCCACAATGAATCAGACTGGTGGAAATGGAAGATCTCCAGGAGTGAGTTTGCTTTTACCAGTGGAGAGATGACAACACTAAATTTGTCAAGAGGCTGAGCCCATGGGAATATGCAGACTTTAAACGAGGCTGAGCTGGTTGAAAATGTTGCCCACCTGGCAGTAGGGTTATATAATGCTACTGTGCAGTATTGTTAAGGTAACAGAACATGGTATTCAAACCAGGCTAGTCCCTGAAAGGACTATATTGTGATAGGTTAAGAAGTGCGCTAATTATGTCATGTTGAGTGAATTATATTATGTTGAGCTATGTCGGTTTGCACATGTGAATGGATATTAATGAATATTCATAAAAGGTAAGTCTATTAATGTCTCCAAAAGATATGTAAAACAGAAATTTCTTGTACCATATTTAAGCTAAACTTCTCTTAGAAGATGAAATTGTTTTGTTTCAGTGTGTTTCTTGGAATACTCCTGATTTGGAGTGCTCCTTATTTTTCACAGTTCTTTCTTGCTTTTAATCGACAACCACGATCATTGCTTTACTCTAAAGAGGTTTTTTTTAAAAATATAAATTATATTTGCTAAAAATTCACTGCTTTTTGATTTGTCAGTTGTGACTTGATCTCTGACACGCTTGGTAAATAAAAGAAGACTGGATCATGGTGCCTACCCTCCAATAACTACTGGTGCCCAGGGCCTGGTTCTGAATTGGTTGCAACAGTTCAGGCCAAAAGGAGTGCAATGCTGTGCTGCACCCTAGGGGTCAAACTTAGTTCTGTAATGATTCGTTGCTGAAAAAGGTATATCTTGATCTTGATGTTTATATAGTTTGTTTGGTTTTTTTACTTAAATTTGCTTCATTAAGTACAGAAAACATTCAATAAATCCTTTTCGTGTGTGACTTTCTTCACTATTCCTCACCATAATTTCATTTAAACTTGTATTTAGGTTTTGTGGATTCTGCTAAAGGAACTCTTTTTGCATTTCTAATCCTGATGACCTGGTAACAAGTAAAAATTAAAACTGTGCCCTACAAAATAGCTTATAGGAGTTGTCTGTCCTTCTCTCGAGCAGTATCCAACCAGAGGCTTATCTTTGTGACTCTTCTCAGAGTCCTTGTTTCCTGAAGGGATAATGTGTTCAGAGATCTTTATTTACAGTGAATAACAACTCGCTCCCTTCAGCATCCCAGAGTCCGATGGTTACCTAGAACCTTCTAATATTGCTTTTAACCAGAAGTATTTTATTTAGACACATGTTATGATAGCCTAGACTAGTGATGATCCATAGTACAGGGAACTAGGCAGGACCGCCTGTGTCTCCTACAGATGCCTACGTGAGAGATCTGGAGCTGGGCTCCCCGGGAAAAGGGAGGATGAGACCAACAACTGAGGGGTCATATTAAATTCTGCAAGGGGGGAATGTTTAATAGAGAAAATTAGATTTGGGAAAATATAATAAAATCTCAATAATTTGTGTCAATGAAGGCTCCAAATGCATTCTCTAAGCTACAAAAACATTGGTGTATTTCTACAGATATATAACCATTAATGTACGCTTTATCTTGTTTTTATTTATGTTAATTTAAAATTAGTTTGTATTCTCTGGTAAACACGTATTAACTGCATAGTAACCCACGTGTAGGAAACAGCTGCTCTTGGTAATCCATATATTAAAAAAAAAAAAAACTTGAAGGTTCTTTTCAAAGGTATAATGCTAATTCAGTCAGTTCTTTGACATTAGTGGAACTTTCTTTTTGCCTTACGTTTTGCCGTTGTCTTCATACTCGCAAAGTGTCTCTAAAACAATTCATCTTGGAAAATAGAACATAAGGACGTTGGTGTTGGAATCTGGACTCCGTGGATTTGTTTTGGATTCTGGCCTGTGCCACGAATCTAAAGCACACCCGTTTCATGGGACTTCCCTGGTGGTCCAGTAGTTAGGACTCGGCACTTTCACTGCCGTGTCCCAGGTTCAATCCATCCCTGGTCAGGAGAACTAAGATCCTGCAAGCTGTGCAGCTTGGCCAAATAATAATAATAATAATAATAATAATAAGGCACACCCATTTCAGCTGCCAGTCAGCAGGCGTGGCTTTCTGGAAGCTCCTATAAATAAAGATTATTTCTATTTATCCTGCTCAGTGTGTTTCCTGTAATAAATCATTCAAGAAACTCTGGTCCCTTCACGAACATATCAAGATCGTCCATGGATATGCAGAAAAGAAATTTTCCTGTGAAATTTGTGAGAAGAAATTCTATACCATGGCTCACGTACGGAAACACATGGTTGGTAAGTCTTTTCTGTTGCTTTTCTCGTACACCTATAATTTTCCCTTGTTTTTTGGTGTGTTTTATACTTTGGATTGGGCAGGATATGAGGAACTGCCTTATTTGAATCAGTTTTGACTTGTTGAAACTAAATACAACATGTCTTCGGTAAGCATCACCAAATTGGATGGTAGAGTCTTCCACACCCAGGTTTCTTTTCAACGTTGTTATTTTTTCCTTCAGAACTTTGCCGTTAAAGCCTCACAGATTAGAGAACAATCAATTAAGATGGCAGGACCGCCTTACAGTAGGACATATCTCTTTTCCCATTTGAGCCCTTTGGTGGACTGTTTTTGAGCATAAGTGCGTTCTGTGTTGCAGCACACACGAAAGACATGCCATTTACCTGTGAAACCTGTGGAAAGTCATTCAAACGCAGTATGTCACTCAAGGTGCACTCCTTGCAGCACTCTGGAGAGAAGCCCTTCAGATGCGAGGTAAGGCGCGCGCTGCCCACCAGGCCCAGGCGCGGGGGCTGGCTTGCGTTGACGTGGTGAGCCGTGGGAGAGAGGCGTGCCTCGTGCAAGGCACAAGGCTGCGTTTCCACAGAGCCGTCAGACCCGTGCTCTGAGCGTCGCGTTATCTCACTGCTGGATAGAGAGCGGTCATTTTTAACGCAGAGTTAACTCAACTTAGATCAGGTTAGGTTTGGGAATAACACGTGACGAGTCATTTTACTTTTCTCAGTAATTCAGAGAAGTTAGATATACTTCAGGGATAATTATTTGGGAAATTTTCCCTTTTGTTATAACTCAGCTACGGAAATATAGCAGAGCCAAATAGTTGACACAAGCAGGTTCTATTCTGAGTATGAAAAATATACCTAATCTCAGGCTATGTAGGGTGGGCGCAGGTAAAGCTGCTATGCTTGGCATTCAAAAATCTCCACTGTGTCCAATGCAGAACTGTGACGAAAGGTTTCAGTACAAGTACCAGCTACGCTCCCACATGAGCATCCACATTGGGCACAAACAGTTCATGTGCCAGTGGTGTGGCAAGGATTTCAACATGAAGCAGTACTTCGACGAACACATGAAAACACACACTGGTAAGAATTTCTTGGGAAAGGTACAGATATGTCTCAAGCACTTGTTAATGATCACCTGTGAGTCTGTTTACTTAAAGTTCTAAGCCACGAGTCTGCATTCTAAGTGCAAATTCCGCTTTAAATAAACCTGATATATAAAAATACAAATTTATAATACCGAAAAGTTAGGCTTTCATAATTTTATTTATTTAAAAAAGGATTGTTAGTGCCTTTTAACTGTGGGTTCCTTCAAGATGATGGACTCTTTATTTGGGACACAGGATCTCCTGAAATTGTATGAAAATTGTTTTGCATATGTGTCCATGTTATTTTTCTAAGGAAAGGGTTCTGGGTCTTTAAAAAATGGAGGCCATTTTTTTTTGGTTTTATTTATTTATTCTATTTTTGGCTGCGTTAAGGTCTTCATTGCTGCGTGTGGGCTTTCTCTAGTTGCCGTGAGCGAGGGCTACTCTTTTGCGCTGTGCGGGCTTCTCATTGCAGTGGCTTCTCTTGTTGCGGAGCACGGGCTCTAGGCGCGCGGGCTTCAGTAGTTGTGGCACGCGGGCTCGGTAGTTGTGGCTTGTGGGCTCTAGAGCGCAGGCTCAGTAGTTGTGGCGCATGGGCTGAGTTGCCCCGAGGCATGTGGGATCTTCCTGGACCAGGGCTCAAACCTGTGTCCCCTGCATTGGCAGATGGATTCTTATCCACTGCACCACCAGGGAAGTCCCTGAGGACATTGTTTTTAATAGGATACCCTCTCAATATTCTTAAAGTTTGATTGGATTTTATTTACCAAAATTCACTACTTTTTACGAACACATCCATCAAATGAGTTTAAGTAGTATTTTAACTACATTGTGTTTTCAGAGGTATATGCTTCATAGCGTCGATTTGAGTCTTGAAAGCATTGGATCATACAGCCTCCAGGAAGCTAGTTAGAATAATAGCCCCCTGTAAACACTGGGGCATTGTACGTCTGTCTTATCTTGATGCTCTGGAATTAGCTGTCTTGGCACAAATTGAACAGTGTGAAACATATTTCAAGTTTCTAAATAAAATCTAATCACAGGATTCTAGGTTCTATTAGTCTACAGAGTAGCAGAGCCAGAAAGAACCACAAGACATTATCTTCCTTAGCCTGCTTAACTAGTGGTGAGGAAGTTCTGCCCGTAGCTGCGCCCCTGTAGTTCCCATCTCTATTAAGTCCAAAGAAAAACACCTGCCTGGTGGGCTTCTTTCCCATTCAGAGCAGGACCTCTGATTTCAAGGAATAAGCTAGAGGAAGAGCCATGAGAGGAGTTTACGTAAATTACATCTCAAAAGGTAGTGATAACTTTGAAGCCTAAGTGGATAGCAGGATATGTCAGAGTATTTTAACAAATTCTCCTCTTAAAATCTGGTGGCTCTTGGATAGGCTTTTAGTTCTGAGTAGCATTTAGGGTGCAGTTTTCTGTTAATTCAGCAGGAAACTATGGAACTAGACAGAAAATAAGTTTTTTTGAAGGCAGAAGCTGTGTCATATTTACACACGGTGCTTGGCACATAGTAGATGCCCAGTAAATGTTTGTCTCAAGATTGGAAGGAACCTCCACCACTTAAGCCTCTGCGCTCACCTTCTCTTTTCTGCCCGTCTCCCTGTGCTTCTTCCTCCCGGGTCCCCCCTCTCTCCTTCTCCTTCTGCGTTTCTTACTCTTTCTTCTTTCCCCTTTGTCCTTCTTTCTTTCTTCAGGCCCTTGAATGTCCATAATATGAAACTGAAGTGTACATTTTGTGATTAATGTGTAAGTTGAATAAAACTTTATGTTAAGTATTCTTCTTTGACCAAATAGGCAAGCTGAACATTCCCTGTTTCCTCTAAAGGAGTACAGCCACCTAAATTCACTTAAGTTTTTCTTTTTCTCATTAAAAGTAGTAGTACATACTTATTAAAGTATATTAGAAAATATGGAAATTGAAATGATCTATAATCTTATCAATGAGAGGTGACTACTGTTAACATTTTAGCACATATTTTTTTAATTCTATAGTTTCTTAATATACATATAGATACTATGCATAAGTGTTTATACGTTCATGTATATAGTAACAAAACAAAAATTGGGTCTTTACGCTCTGTTACAACCTGCTTTTTATTTTACTGTATTATGTCATTAACAGTAATATCATTTTAATGGTTGTATAATAGTCCTTCTTATAAATTAGCTGTAATAATAGCCATCATTTATTATGCACATATATGCTGAGTACTATCTTAAATACTTTACATACATTATCTCATTTAATCAGTATAACCTTTACAGTGGTCCTGTTAAGGATGTTATCTCTATTTTATTTAGCCAGTTCCCTTTTGGACATTTAGATGATTTCTATTTCCAATTTTTCTACTGTTATAAATAATACTGTGACAAACAACTTTATGGCTAACACAGCCATGATTATTTACTTAGGATAAATTCCTAGAAATGGGATTATTAGGTCAAAGGGATGTGTATAGTTTTAAGACTTGGTGGTATGTATTGCAAAATAGCCATCCACATACACTCTTACCAGCTGCACGTGAAAATACCCATTTTCCCAACCCTATCCAATGCTAAATAAAATCATTGTTGAATTAATAGGTGAAAAATGGTTTCTTACGGTGTTAATTTGCACTTAATTGCTAAGTAAGGTTGAACATTTTTTTTCACATGCTTGTTGGGTATCAGTATATTTTCTTTTCTGAATTGCTTGTGCCTTTTCTGTATTCATCTTGCCATTGCAGTGTTTGGCTTTTTCTTATTGTTTATGATAGCTCTTTATATATATAGCTCTTTGTATATATTTATATATATGGGACCTTGTCTAACACCGATATTAAAATCCTTTTCCCTGGTTTGCATCTGCCTTTTAGTATTGTTTGTAATGATCACACTGGGAAAGCGCTGGATGGTGGAGTTGGACACACCTGGCTCTGCCGCTCACTAGCAGTGTGACCTTAAGTGAATCATGCAACCCCTGTAGGCCTCTGGTTCCTTGGTACTTAAATAAGGATTACAATAGTACCTGAAAGGATCCGAGAAGGGTTAGCTTTTAAAGAAGAAAAGGGATAGGTCTTTCAAGGCTGGATGAAACCACACTTAGAGTATGTTTTGGTGGGGGTTAAGGCCATTGCAGGAACTGACACTGATTGGGCTGTTTCTTTGCAGTTAAAGAGAAGTGAGGTAGATCTTATCTAGGGAAGCCGACCAGCCCTCAGGCAGGGTTTCCTGGGATGGTGTGGACATAATTGTCGATTCTCTTTGTACCAGGCACAGTGCTAAGTGCCGAGGGATACAGGATGAATTATGACCTGCTTCTTGCCCTCAAGGGGCTTACAGTCCAGTGGTAGTGATGATGATAATAGCAGCACTAAGATGCACCGAATGTCTGCCACGTACCAAATACCGTTCTAAGCGCTTTCCTTGAATTTCTGACTTACCGCAATAACCTGTTATTATTATCTTCACTTTTCAGATGAGGCTCAGAGAGAAAAGAACTTGTCCAAGGCAGTCTGACTCCAGAAACACATACTTAGTTACTCTGATACAAACTTAATGAAGCAAGTAATAAAATGGAGGGATACGCAGGACATGATGAGGGCAAAAAGCACCATCCCAGAGTCTGGTTCTCAGCTTCCAGAATTTGTCAGTGTACCCAAGCAGATGAGGGTCAGAGGGATTGATCTGTGCTAAACAATCTGAATAATATGTAAATAAAGTTGCTAATTTACAGTGAAAAGCCTGAGTGAGTGACAAGTGCTTCCGAACTCTTACGTTCTTTGGTCTGAATATTCTTTGCCTGAAATAAATTTATATGAGAAGCTAAATTATAATCACAAGATCATCAGGGACAGAAAATTACAGCAAAGGAAGGTAATTGAGTGATCTTAATTGTGAGTACCATCCTTCATGGAATCCAAGAAGCCATCGGTTTTAAGACAAACCTCATTTATATATCGCTAAGAAAATGCTGCAAATTAAAGAATGACACGTCACCGATTGTTATGGTATATGTCAGTTTCACAAATGTAAATATTTGGGGGGAAATGCATGTCTTAGAATGAACTAATATTTATTTATAAATATTAATCAAGAATCTACTAAACGGGGCTACTGTAGCGAACAAGACTGAAGTAGTCCCTGGATTCACAGAGCTTACAGTCACGTTGGGGTGGTAGACAGGCAAGGCATTACAGTGGTTTGGCGATGAGAGCACAGTAAGTACAACTAAATGAAGTTGGTTAGAGTTTGATGGATTGGGGGAGGAGGGGAGGCAGGGAGTATAATGAGACACGATACTGGAGAGCCGTAAGCAAGTACCGCATCACAGAATGAGCCGTGTAGAAAAGTTTGAGCTTTATTCTGAGGACAGCGGGACGTTCTTCAGCGGCTTTAAGCAGAACGTGACACATCTGAAAGGTCGCTCTGGCTACAGTGTGGAGAGTGGATTGGAGGGTGGGGAGCAAGAATAGAGATGGTGAAGCCAGTCGGGTGGACATTGCAGTAATCCAGGTGAACGATTGTAACGTGATGGTAGGCCAGATATATAGATACACAGATTTCTGATGCTGCTCCAGGATATTCATAAGCAGACTGGGGTGCTTGTGTTCATTGGCCAGATCACTTTTTCCTTTGAAAGTTCAAAAGACAGCTAAGTAGCCGAATTCTTGCTCTTTCTATCTTCCCTGCAGATTCTGTCTTCATTTATTATGTGCGTTCTTCAGACTCATTACGGTACCGTTTCTTATAATTAGGTTAGCTTTATCTGTATGTAAGTTAGGTTACATCATAAGATGTATTGACATATGTGCTTTCTAGTTACCTTGATGGACTTAGCTGTTAGTACCTCCTCCAGCCACCCATTTACTAGCACTTCCTTAAAGTGGGACATTGTGCAGGTGGTTGATTTCAAATGTTACATTTTGATTTTTCCTTGTTTCAGCCTCATGGTAATCTTACCTTGAGGTTTCAGGGAAACCTTATCATGAGTCATTAGCACAGTTAGGAGATGGGGCCTAATGAATAATGAGAGCTAGAGTTGGGTGGGATTGTGGGTTTACGTCTGAGTAGCAAATGTGGAAAACTTGGTAGGACATCAAGAAATGGATAAAAGATTACTAAGTAGTTAAAAGGGCCCGTTTAAATTTGAATACATGGATCTATGGTAGGCCAGTTCTAACAGTTTTTAGTCTTTCTGCGGCAAATCATTATAGCCTAGAAGACTACACATGAGAGATGGATGATGAGAGAGATCCAGGACTGGATCCAGGTTTGAGCACATAACAGAAAGTTACATGTCCATACATTAAGTAAACTGTCAATGAATAAAGTGTCTAGTGAACCTAGGAAGTGATTAGTGAATTAAGTGGAGAATGTTTGCTTGTATTAGACTAATAATTCAAACATTAGGTCCTTAGGCTCTGGTTCCTCATGGCTGTTAGCAATGAAGACTGTTAACTCTGGAGAGTCAAGGAGGAAGGGGTCAAGGGGATTGATAGGTTATCAAACAGGTGTGCTTTTAAAACATTTTATTATACAAGTAAATCATGTTTATTTTAGAAAACAGGAAGTACATATAAGCATCAAAAATAGAGTAAAATGTCACTCATAATCCCATTATCTAGAGATGATCACCGGTAACATTTGTTTTATTTCTTTCCGTATGTTCCTACACGTATTTTTCATTAAAAATGGATAATACCATGCGTACGTGTTCATAACTTGCTTGTTTTACTTAATAGACTATAGATAATAGATTATAGATTTTCATGTTAATAACTACATTTCTATACTTTTATAATATTGTTTTTAATGGCACTCTCCATTAGATGGGCATACCACAACTGACTTAATCAATTCCATTTAACATAGAATTTGAAGTTTTTAATTGGAGGAAATGGATTAAAAGGAAGGAACACAAGCCAGTACAGAATTTATCTAGAAAGATGAGTATGAATCACAGTGAAGAGCCTAGCAGTGGCAGTGATTGAATAATGAAAGGTAGGAAGATAAAAGAAATATTATAGTCAGCAAATAGTACCGGTAACTATGGAGAAAACTGATCCCTCCTGATGGTTCGATTCAGTCTCTCATGGGAAGTGAGGAGAAGTCTGGCTTCCATGGAAGGAGGCAACAGGAGATGTCAGTTTTCAAAGGCAGAGAGAAGAAATAAGGACTACAATATGGATAAAGGGGAGTTTGCTCATAGTGTTAGAAGGAGTCCCAAAGTGGAGGAAAACAGTAAGAAAATAACATTCCTTTGCGTGTTCAGGAATGCACAAAACGTTGAGGTGTGAAGCGCCGTTGTTTTACATGTCTGGCGCCAGACCGCAGAATTTTAAATCCTGCCTCTCCACTGACTGTAGAACCTCCAGCAAGTTTCTTAATTTCCTCCTCTGTAAAATAAGGATAATAGCGTACCTACCTCATGAGGCTGTGAGGATCACCAGAGGTTAATAAGGTGTCAAGGGATTAGAACAGTGCCAAGCACACACTAAGACTCCATACACAACAGCTCTTATTTATACAGAGTAGAATAAGGACACCTGTTAGAAACAAAGGGAGTAATAATTGAAGTGAGAGCAAACTCTTGTAGCAGGAGCTACAGTAGAGATACAAGCGACATACACTGAGCATTGGTGAAGGAATTGCTAAATACAAGCACATGGTCACTGAAGCACACGTGGACAGGTGTTCCGCGCCGCACCACAGCGTTCTGGATGCAGTGACCGTGGACGTGTGTGTCCAGACATCATTTTGTTTCTCCCTATGGTCTGGGGAGAGAGGCAGGCAGACATAGCATAGAACTAAGCAGTAAGTCCAAAGGAAAGTTAGGAAGTTTAAAAATTAAGCCCTTGGAACCCAAACCTAATTTCCTCCCTAAGTGCCCTTAGAGCTAGGGGGTTTTGTTTCCTTTTTGGCTCATTTCCCCAGTGGTTCTCCACCAAGAACGGTAGCCTGCCGCTCAACCCTCCCCACACCCACGGGCATTTGGAAATGGTGTGGGGACATTCTTGATGGTCAGAATTTCTTGGGGGCATATAAGTAGTCTGGCGCCAGGACCACTGAGCGCTCTTCAGGTGTGCAGACAGCCCCACGTAATGGAGAGCCGCCTGCAGAGAAACACTGTGGTGCGAAATCTGTGTTGTAGGGTGAGTCAGTCCAGAATTTCCCCAGATAGCAAAGCGTAAGCCGCATTCTAAGGATTATGTTCGAGTAGACGTGCGGAGACTTATGTCCTCCACAAGACATTTTCAGCAAAGTCCTACTCTGGGTTGGAATGTCAGAAATTGCTCACAGATCGGCTCGCCTATGCTTAGAGGCAGAGATTCATCTGTGGGCTTGGTTCCCTGGAACACAGGAAAGCCATTTGAACAACTTCTTCCTGTAGGATGTGGAGGATCACTACTGTAGAAGCCTTTTTTGTTCTTTTAACCAAGCCCAGATGGTAGGTTGTAAGTAAGTTTTAGTTGTATCTGCTCCTTTTTGTTAAGTCCCAACTTTGGGGAACTCTTTTATGACTACTAGAATATAATATGCCATAAGGGAGAGGAGTGGTAACCTCCTTTTTTAGTATGAGGAATAGCTGGGGCACACACTTGCCACCTAGTGTGTTAATCCTGTTTTTGTGTCTGTGTTCGTCTCAGGAGAGAAACCCTTTATCTGTGAAATCTGTGGCAAAAGCTTCACCAGCCGCCCCAACATGAAGAGGCACCGCAGAACTCATACAGGCGAGAAGCCCTATCCGTGTGATGTGTGCGGCCAGCGGTTCCGCTTCTCCAACATGCTTAAGGCCCACAAGGAGAAGTGCTTTCGGGTGACCAGCCCCGTGAACGTGCCGCCTGCTGTCCAGATCCCACTCACAACCTCCCCGGCCACCCCAGTTCCTTCTGTGGGGAGCACCCCCACGACCCCCGCCCCTCCCATCAGCATGAACCCCGTCAGCACGCTAACCCCTCGGCCCATGCCCCACCCCTTCTCGCACCTTCACATCCACGCACACCCTCACCACCCACACCACCTTCCTATCCCCCCAGTCCCTCACCTCCCCCCACCTCCAGCTCTCTTTAAGAGTGAGCCTTTAAATAACAGGGGCCAGGGTGAGGACACCTTTCTGCGGCACCTGGCAGAGAAGAGCAGTTCAGCCCAGCATCACTAACGTCCATCTCCTTAAATGCGTTCTCCGCGAGTTCCGTGCCCCGGTGTGAGTTTGCAGAGTAGGGGTCGGTGAGCGTTTCTCTAGCTGTCAGACTCTCCTCAGCCTCCACCAAGAGCTTTGTCATTGTCTTGGTGAATCAGCACATCCGAGGGAGTGGACGAGAAGACCCTGAGCTCACGGAGGGAACTGTCGAACCAGGGAACCACCGAACTAAAGCCCAATTTGCTTGCATTTTCTGGTGACTTTTATAAATTTCAAATACTCAGACTTGTGGAATTTTATAATTTCATATCAGCTGATGAGGTATGCTTGCTTTTATATCCTGGACTTCTCCTCAAAGAGGGGACAGGCCTGGTTTCCTTTGTACTAATCGGGAAGGCTGTGACATTAATCCAGAGCATTAATTGTATCACTGTGTATCGTAACATTCTTTTCAGCTTTTGGTGCTGGCTTCAGAGTTGAGCTAGCCATGTTTCACAGTATATCAAGCATTATAGAGAAAGACAGAAATTTTCTTCTTTGTGTAGCTCTCCTAATGCACTCTTTATTTTACTACAGAAATTATTTTAGAGTTTTTGTATAGACTTCTTTAGTAGTCTGTTTCTAAAATGAAATGTATTTCAATAAGCAGTGTAATTTTTTCAGTGTAGCTGGACCTATGTTGTAAAATAGAAAAAATTTTTATAATCATCAAAATGTGATTCTTAAAGATGCATATAACTTCTATAGTTCAAAGTTATTCTTACATCCGTACAACTCAAAGGTGCTTCAGAGACTAGATGTATCTGAAAGGGTCTCCAGACCAGGTTACTGCGAAAATGAGGTTTTGCTTTCGGAATTTGGCAGAAGTCCTTGGTAGTTTTTTAATCTCTGCTTAACACTCGGGGGCCTGTTAGGCTCACGGACATGCTGTGTCCTCCATGTTTCGTTCGGTTCAGTTAGTACGTTGAATGGAATGATTTGCAGAGGGTTGAGCCTTTTCCAGGGAGGTCACCTGAAGCTGGCCTGTTTTGAAAATCTGAGTAAAGCCGTTCGCCGTCAAGAGGAGGAGGTGGCGGAGGCTGTTTCCTCTCAGTCACGTCTCGCTTCCCCCAGAAATGTGTTCAGGTTCAGCCTCTGTGGGACGACCAACTGAAGTCTCCTAATACACTGCTCACTTTAAGGTTGCTTTATTTTTCTAATTGTCACAAAAAGATAAAATAGTACACTAAAATCACAAGCATGGTGTTGCCTGATAGCGGCTGAGAAATTTGGATAAGAACACAAATCGGTTATGACTTTTAAAATGTCTCTTCTATCCATGGATGTAGTCACAACTTCGAGCTATTCTAACACAGTTTAAATTGTGGTGAGAGAGAGAAAACGACGTTTTGCTGCCCTGTCCTCTGCAAGCGATGATGTGATAGCAGCCTTCTTGGTGATAAGGAGAGCCGCAAAATGGGGCAGGTTTGAAAGAGTTTGGGTAACTTCTAAAGAGCATGGTCAGTCAGGAGCTCATTATAAGAAAGGCTGAACAGAAGGGCTGACAGATTGGTTATATTTAACTGATCACATTTATCCAGACTCAGTGTAGATAAAAATTTTGTAATTTTTCATCTCAGCGAACTGAGTTTCAAAGCGAGGTCTTTCTTTCTCCCTCTCTCTCTCTCTCTCTCTCTCTCTCATTTTTTTAATCTTGAAATTTCTTCATTTTTCTTTCCTCAAGGTTTTAAATCTTTGCCTGAATCAGAACCCTGACTTTTATTTATTTTTTTATTTTTAATATTAAGTGTGCAGATAGACTTACAGCACTTTTTCTGGCTGATTAGCTCTGTGGTAGGAAAACTGGAACTCTTTCCATTGAGGTTAAGCCCCTATTTTTAAAATATCGCATTCTCTGTTAGCTTTTTGGTTTAATATTTCCAGATTTTTTCCTTCTGATTACTGCCTTTGTCTTCTATAATGAGCATAGGAAAATTTGGGAGTGAGGCGGAAAAGTATCTCAAGACATACTTTTCCTGTTTCTGGATGTAACTTCTAAGGAATGTGGTATTAAATATTTGTATACATTCTTTGAACACTCAAGTACCCAAACCAATAAGAAAAGTTAATTCCTTATTTATGACTGTTATATCTTTAGTGGCTGCCTCCCCTTGTTTACACAGTCTCCTTGGCGTTCCATGACAAGTTTGTGGATATACCATGTGTGGTATATGTGTGGACATACCATTATTTCATGTCCAAGCTTGTAATATTAAAATGATGTTTAAGATGTAAATTACAGCTTAGTTAATTGGTTATACCTTATTTTGTTCTAAATAAATTTACAATATTGGGCAGCAGTTCTGAATTCTAGACTTGAGACCATTGAATCAACCATTTTATGAGGTGTACTATAATTACACACTGGAAAATTCAGGTAGTCATATTTGATTTTCCATTCAAGTGAATATAGCCATAAGAAAATATCTACTACATAGGAAAACCAATATTAAGCAAATAATCACCACCACCCTTAACAGAAGCAAAGAAAGGATTATCTTTTTTTAAAAATCAGCATTGTCAAACAATACATTTCTTAGTGAAATGTATTGTGGAACAATCTGGAAACTTCCAATTTTTTTTCCCCTAGATAAGCATACCCTCCCTGATTTGGGGTTTGTGGTCTTCGGGAAGACTGCTCAGAATATAATGACTCCTCACCAGTGTCATATTACATATGCCTAATGAAATGCATTAAGAATATTCATACCATTAATGCTTCTGAATAGAAGAACTGAAGAATTAAGCCTTAAACGTATACGTGCATCAGGTTTAACACGCTTAAGACTCAAACTCAGGGTTAAAATTTTGATTGGGGTCCTTTACTAAAATAAAAGTTGCATTTATATATGGTGTGTTCCCTCCCACCTATAGTACAGCACCCTGTGACTTATTCAAAACTTATTAACTACTTGTTATCTGTTTATGAAAAAAAGAACTGTGGAGGAGTTTGAGTTCTCAGCCCTTATCTGTACTTAAATTTTAAAGACAGCAAAGGCCACATTTCAGCATTATATAGATACCAAATTGAGGCTGTTTCTCCTGACTTAATTTTACTGTCTTCAAAGGCTTGTGTCGTTGCTAGAGTTAAGACTTACTTGAAAATTCCCAGCTTGAGTTGCTATTGCTTTTTAAATTTTTTTTGCACTTTTCTATTCTTTTCTCATAGATGTATCATTCAAATATAAACTCTTCCTTAGCCTGAATGAAAGGCTGCTTGTTGCTTTCTCAAATTGAGTGGGGCGGGCTCATACTGAGTCAGATTTTACATCTGAATGAAGAAAATAAGATGAACGGTTTAAAAGCACGTGGCTTCCTTTCCGTGTATATTTGTGATTTGATCCTTATTTTTAGCAAGCAGGGAAGTCTCCACATAAAACTTTACTACAGTAGTTCAAAGTAACCTTTGCAAATCAGTTATGTATACTTTTACAGTCTACCGTTTTTCCGTTAACCGTTCTAAATTAATGACTGAGCGTGGATATTACCACAGTTGTACCATCTTTTTTAAAACTACATTGGTTGAAGGTACCTTTTCATTGTGGTTAGAATGCTCCCTATAATTTGATTGTCCCTTGTATACTAACTGGAGGCAAAATACTCTGAAGAGATACTTGTACACTTTTTCTACTTCTTGAAATTTTTTTCACTTTTTATGTTTTTTGAATGGATATGCTTGTTTAGCTTAATTTTTATTTCACTGGAAGTTTTAAATCTTAAGAAAATCAAGCAGAAATAGAAATCCATTGCAGACGTGTATTATATTTACCGCATCTTGAAGATTTCCGTTAGTGAAACACAGAATGGTAGGTGGGGTTTTAATGTTTAAAAAGAGAGAGAGAGAGAGAGGAAAACTAAAGTTAGAGAAACCCATCTGTTTGAGCTACTGCATAGGAGAGACAACTTTTATTACATCGCTGACCCACATGATGAACATTTCAATGCTGTTCCAGACTGTATGGGAAGTATTTGATGAAAAAGGGATAAGTTACACCTAAGAATTTTATCAACTATCTCCCATTACAAAAATCAACTCACTTGGAATTCTTCAGACTATAAAATTGAGCAAGTAAATATTGGGTTTTAATTTTCATTTACCTAAACCAAGATAGGAAATTTCCCAAAAGATCATTTTTTTCGGGAATGAAAGGTCATTAGCCACTAGAGATACTGGCATTATTATGTACTAGCAACACCCTAGCTAACCTGCTTCTGTCATCTGTAGTGTTTATAACAAATAACAATGACCTTCCAACCCTGGACACTACCTCGATAAAGCAAACCAGAGATCCTCTCTACACTTTCTATGGAAGCCATAAAAGTTGCCATCGGTATATCTACTTTCATAGTTCTGTACTTTTATACTCTCTAGACTTTTTATAGACTTTGTGATCAGATCTTTTTGTCTTAGAGGATAGGTTTTGCAAGATTCAAAGGAAAATCAAACTCCTTGGTTGTCCCAGCTTTGAAGCTTTAGCCTCAGTAAATTTGTTTAAAGAACTAGATAATGTACCACTTATCAAATTTTTCATTAAACTCTTTTGCAGAATTGCATATCGGGAAAACAAACTTCTCTTTCTCATTCCCTAAGTAGAAGCTATATTGTTGCAAGAAGCTACTTACAAAGCGGATTTCTACCTTGTTAGACTCTGTGTATAACTTGATAATATATGTCTTGTCATAATGTTCCTGGAGTTGTTTTTATTTCCTTATGACAGATTAGTGAGTGTACATCTCTCACTAATCCTGTATTAGCTCACTGCAGCTTCAGTCTCTCTCACTCTGTTCTTGAGTGCCTTCAAAAAGCCAGCATCATGGAACATTCTTTTCCTGATCTAAATCCTACCTCTGATTATTCATCGTCCATGAGTATTGGAACTCACTCTTATTCCAATTGATTTGTCTCCACAAACTAGCTCTAAAACCTTGGATGTGAATTTTTTATGTATTTCTGTTTTGTTCCCCCATGTCACTTTTAGATTACATTTTAAACTTTTATTTATATCTTATTTCTTCACTTATTACATCTCTAGTGATGAAAGGCTTTATCCTTATCTTAACTGCTCATGTTCCTTTCTTTCACCAGAAAGTAGATGTTCCTTTCAAATTAAAGGTCATTGAGTATCTCTCTTGAACATCTTTTTCTCGTCTTAGTCTTCCTGAAATGCCTCCCCTTTCTGATTAAGGGATCTAGATTGCTGCTCTTGCTATGCCCTGTTCTGATACGCTCTCTCTCTTCGAGAAACATTTGGCCAGGTTGTACCCATAATGTTATTTTAGTCAAATCAATTTAAAAGTGCTCTCTGGGTTTATCCGAAGTCCTTTACTGATTTTTGATCTGCCTCTCTCATCCTTCTGTCCCTCAAAAACTTCCGGTTACTCTCTTCTACTTGTTCACATCTAATTAATTTTTAAAATATTGTTGATACGTAGTATATGAAGGATGTCATAAAAAGGAGGTTTCAGTGTGTTCTCCATGTGATATGAGCACCTTATTGATAAAACATTGTAGCGATTGGCTCATCTTTCACGGTCAGAACCGCAGTTCGTGCTGCGTACAGGTGTCTGGCTCCCTTTCAGTTCTCCTCCCAAACTGAAGACAAACAGACCTCATTAAAATGAGGAAATTAGATTGCTTTTTTTTTTTTAAGTGAATGAAAGCTATTGAGTTGGGTATTTTGGCCTTAGTCGAAATTTTTCCTTTCTGACTTAAAACGTCATGCCTCTTTCCTTAAAGTTGATAATACTAATACTCAGGTTTTCAAGGCTAACTAACCACCACGTGACGTGGGAGTCTAAGAAGGCAGCTGTTAATAAATTCTTGTTCCTTTTATCTGGCGACAGTACGTTATTGGTGGGGTAGTGTGACATTGTGAGAATGCTTATGTTTGATAATGAATAAATTCAAGACATTTGAAGATGTCACTGGCTGTTTGGAATGGGAATACTCGTTTACAAAATGCAAAAGGTAGATTTCTACAGAAATAAGTGACAAGAGTTTCTTGTTGTTTGAAATCTTCTTGCTTTAGTATGCCTTGATAGTCCCCAAACCTAGAAGTTTGCCTCTTTTAGGTGGTAACTGGCTACCTAAAGTAACCACTTTGAATCTGTGGCTTTTCTCCTGGGACTCTCAGGCAGTACAGCAGTGGGAGCCGTGCGGGGAGCGGGGGAGGGGGGGCGCTCACACCTGAGGAGCCACATCCCTGAGACAGACTGTTGGCTTGTTTCATGTCTTTGTACGTAGGAGACGTTTGGCACAAGTATCAAAGGGCCTTTGCCTCTAAGAAGTATCTCCTCCACTTTCTAGTTTCACACTATTTGAGCTTCCCTGGTGAGATCAGCGATGTTACAAATTACTTGAAAATGATTTTGGGGATGGGGCAAGAAGGGGTAGGAGCTGAATTTTGCTTAACTTTGGAAGGAAATCTGGAACTCGCATTGTTGGTTTTGATCAACCAAAGAGCCTGTCTCTATAGCGGATGTGCCAAAGAATCAAGTTGTTTCTAACTATCCAGCTCCTCTGAACAAACACAGCTTCCTTCTTACCTGACTTTTACAGGTGAAAAGGGACCGTGTGATCACAAGGCCAGAGACACCAACTCACATTCTGCATAGGACCTGAGGCTGCGTTTAATCGCATTCAGAAGTTGGTGGGAAATATTTTGTTTTTTTAGAAGCTCCAGCCTATCCTAGAAATATCTTTTCTGTGCTTCATTATTCAACTCATTAGACTTGTTCCAAAAGTAAAAAAGAAAGAAACTGTGTGGCATAGTTTTGGTGTTTACTGCTGAAGTTGCATCCCCAACCATATCTATGCAGCCTCTGAAAATCAGATGAATTCTTCTCAATCTTCCATATGTTTGAATATACATCTTCCTCTTGACATGGGCAGCATGATTCTGCTCCACCAGCAGTACTGGCTTTGTCCACAAGGGAGCAACAAAATACTTTAGCTTCTTTATTCTTGCCTTCTAAAGAAAGATCCCGCTTTTAAGTCTCTTATAGAATATTCTCTCTAGGCTCAATATTTATTTATAGATCTTGGTTTTTAAGACAATTTCCCTTATTACTAAGTGCTCAGCCTTCATGATGGAAACAAAGGTTGATATGTGGGTCAGAGGTCCTTGTGGGTCAGGCATCTGAATTAGCCTTTTTACATACTGGTGCCAGAGATTGAAAGCCAGAACCTTCCCATGGGGGATCCGTTGTGTGCTAAATGCAGAGCAGGAAGGCCACCCTCCTTGCTTCTTTCCTCCCAAGTCCCACCGCCAGCGCGGGGCCATTACATCTCTGAGAAGGA